AAGGACGGTTTGAGACAGGAAGGGATTCCTGTAGCTTCAGCTGGCCTAGAACTTAATATATGGACCAAGCTGGCCTCAGTCACACAGATCTGCCAGCCTCTGTCTCCCAAGTGCTGAGATCAAAGGCTTGTGCCGCTACACCCAGCCTTATTTATTTCTTTTTAATGATTTATTTATTTTTATTTGTACAAGTATTTTGTTTGTTTATATGTATACTGGTATGTATATAGTGCCTGCGAAGGCCAGAAGAGGGTGCGACAGAGCCATGTGGGTGCTGGGAATTGAACTCAGGTCCTCTGGAAGAACAGCAAGTGCTCTTAACCCCTGAGCCACCTCTCCAGCCCCAGAACATGTTTATTTAAAAAATATATATCTATTTATTGTGTGTGTGTGTTTTACACACATACTCACACACACACACATCACAGCATACATGTGGAGGTCAAATGACAACCTATTTGTTCATTCTCTTCTACCATTTGGGTTTCTGGGCTCAAACTCAGATCATCAGGTTTAGCGGCAAGTGTTTTTACACACTGAGCCATCTTTCCAGCCCAGTGCTTCTTTTTATTCTTCCTATTTCATGAGCATCCTTCGCCCTTCCTGGGATGACTCATATTGTAACACAAGGGAATAGGGACAGAAGAAATACCATCTAAGTGAGTCCTTGTAAAACTAGCTTTTACTTTTAACTATATATGTGTAAGACCACAAATGGTAGGTTGGCCAAAGGGAAATAGTTGCTTACTACTGAGCTGATGGAGTGCCTCATGCCTGAATCCCAGCTGAATCAGGAAGATCACTACAAGCTCAAGGCCAGCTTGGTCTACATAGCCAGTACCAGGCCAGTCAAGTATTCTACCACTGAGCTACATCCCCTGCCCTTTAACCAGTTTAAAGATAAGGAAATTAGGTTCAGAGAGATTAACTAAGCTGCCCAGGACCACACAGCAGTTTCACGGCCAAGATAATAGTGAATGTATAATTTCATCTTATCTTTTTTTTAAAAAAACATTATTATTATTATTATTTTATTATTTTTGGTCTTTTTAAGACAGGGTCTTCCTGTAGCCCCAGCTGACCTGGAACTCACTATGTAGACCAGGCTGGCCTTCAACTCACAGAGATCTGCCTGCCTCTGCCTCCTGAGTGCTGGGATTAAAGGCATGTGCCACCACGCCTGGCTTATTTTTATTATTTTATGTGTATGAGTGTATTGCTTGCATATATGTAAGTGAACTTGTGTAATGCAGTGCCTGCAGAGGTCAGAAGAGGGCATTGAATCCCCTGGAACTGGAGTTAGGATGGTTGTTAGCTGCCATGGGTGTTGGGAACCAAACCTAGGTCCTCTGCAAGAGCAACCAGTGCTCTTCTGCTGAGTCATCTCTCCAGTCCTTAAAATGGGGTGTGTGTGTGTGTGTGTGTGTGTGTGTGTGTGTGTGTGTGTGTGTGTGTCTGCATGTGTAGTGCAGGCTCAGAGACCAGGAGAGGGCATCAGATCCCTCTGGAGTTACAGGCATTTGTGGGATACCTAACTTGTTGCCTGGCATCCAAACTCTGGTCTTCATAATTGCTCAGCAAGCATTTTTAACCACGGACCATCTCTCCAGCCCCTACTTAGTTATTTTTGAGCTACATAGGGTCTTGCTTATGTAGCCTGGGCTAGCTTTGAACTCAATGATCAATCATCCTGCTCAGCCTCCTTAGGTCTGAGGACCACAGGTCTGAGCCACCAAGCCCTGCTCTGAGTATGCTCTTAACCCCAGTAGTATGTGTGAAAGGCCTAGGTCCCATAAACTGTCAGTGGTTATTGTTCTTCAGCAAGTAGGATGGGAGAACCTGGGCCCTGGGCCCAGGAATGAAAAGAAGCAGGAGGACATGGACAACATACACCAGGCCATGATAACTTGAAGGTGCCTGGAGCCTGGCTCAGGGCAGATAATACTTGTATGCAGAAGAGGGCACATGAAAGCCACGGGGACTGGGTGGTAGTGGTAAGAGGGGAGAGGACTTTGGCTTGTTGTCACATAGAGCCCATTTGCTCTATGGAAAATGAGCCAGAAGAGAAAAAAGCCAACCAGGACCAGGACAGGGCCTGGAACCCGTGGAAGGCTGAAGCTGCCTTTGCTAGGATGGGAAAGGCTGCGTGCTGGACATCATGGAGCACTTTGGGACTGGAAATTGGGGGTATGAAGTTTTGGTTTTGAGACAGGATCTCATGATAGCCCTGGCTGGCCTCAAACTCTATGTAACTGAGGCTGGCCTTGAATTCTTGATCCTCCTGCCTCCACTTCCCAAGTGCTGGGATTTCAGGGGAAATTTGGTTTTAACATGAGTGAGAGAATAGGAGCAATCTATAGGCATTTGGACAGTCTCAGTTCCCAGTTGTGGTCTCAGATTAAAACTTACGTTTGGAAATTGTCTGACTTGGTGAAACCACTTGGTAAGGGAACCATTCTGTTCAGCTGATAACAGTCACAACCTTTGTTTCTGTTCACTCCTTGTGAATGGCCGGCCATGCCTGGCAGCAAGGACATGAAGACCACAAGACTGGGGGTGAGCTTTTGGCCCTTCTTGAGGACATGCTTCAGTGACTGGCACTGCTGTCAGCCTCTGGAGGGCTTTATTTGAACTGAAATTCTTCCCTCTAGAAGATGTATCCATAAAGCTATAATGGACCCACATTCACCTTGTACAGCATGCTTTCAGGTTTGTGACCCCTCTTACTTGAATTTTCAACTGACTTGCTAAGTGGCTTCTAAATTAACAACTTGCAACTTGTTCATCTCAATTCCTACATAGATGTGGAAGTTCTCTGAAAGACTCCTGGGAGACTTCGTGTACTAAATCTAGGGGAAGGCCATCACCCAAGAATGAAACTAAAACCCCAGTGAGGTTGGCAGATACTTACCAGCTCTTCTGGAAAATTCCTCTGCCCTACCTGCATACCCTGCCCTACCTAAAAAGGGGAAACTTGTTTATCCTCCTCTCAAAAGATGAGGTATTTTGAATTGCTTGCTCTTCCCTCGGCCCCAATTCCAGGAATGATGGAGAAAGAAGAGAAGAGAAGAAAGGGAAGCTTAGGTTCTAATGACCAAGGCGTGAAGATACTAAAGCCCCAGAATTCCCCTTCTAGATATACACCCCAAGGAGTGGAAAACAGGTGTCTGAACGAACTGTGCACAAATATTCATCCACATATTCACAATAGCCAAAGGCAGAAACAACCCAAATATCTTTCAGCAGAGAATGAATAAACAGAATGTAGTACATGTGGTGCTGGAAGGATGGATGGCTCAGCAGGTAAGAGCACTGGCTGCTCTTGTGGAAGACCCAGCTGGGTTCAGTTCCCAGCACTCATGTAGCAGCTAACAACTGTCAGTAACTCCAGTACTAGGAGATCTGATTCCCTATTCTGGCCTCTGCAGGTATAGCACATAAGTGGTGCACCCACACATACATTCAGACAAAATACACACAAAAATGTAGTACCTCTATGTAACTAGATATTTAGCCAAGCCAGGTGTCGTGGCACATACACATGAGCTCTGCACTTGGGAGGCAGGCACATGAGCATCAGGCCAGCCTGGGCCTCATGACAAGACCCTATCTCAACAAACAAAAGAGGGGTGAGGATAGTGGCACACGCTTATAATCCCAGCACTTGGGAGGTAGAGGCAGGAGGATTAGGAGTTTAAGGTCATCCTAAACTACACATTGAGTTGGAGGCCAGCCTGGGCTATGTGAGACCCTAGCTCAAAAAATAAAAGGGTTGTGGTGGCTCACACCTTTAATCCCAACACTCAAGAGGCAGAGGCAGGTGAATTTCTGTGAGTGCAAGTCCAGCTTTGTCTACATAGTAAGTTCTAGGCCAGTCAGAGCTATATAATGAGACCCTGGACCCAAACACAACAAAACAGTATTAGTCAGCTATGCCAAAGACAAGTTCTGATACATTCTACCACATGGATGAACCCTAAAAACACAAGTAAAACAAAGCCACATATTGTATAATTCGATATGTATGAAATGTCCAAAATAGGCAAATCCATAGAGAAAGCAGATAAATGCTTACCAGCAGCTAGAAGGGGCAATGCCAGGGGAGTGTCTACTAATGGACATGAAATTTCCTTTTAGGTCCATGGAAATGTTCTTGAACTAGAACTGCTGATAGTTACACAACATAATGAATTGTATGACATTTTACTGACATGCACACTTTAAAATTATTAAGTGGGGGCTGGAAACATGGCTCAGTGATAGAGCACTTGCCTAGTATGTACCAGGCCTTGAGTTTGATCCCCAGCACCACAAAAATAGAAACGAATAATAAGGGCTGGAGAGATGACTTAGTGGTTAAGAGTGCTGGCTGCTCTTGCTAGAGGACCCAAGTTTGATTCCCAGCACCCACACGGTGCTAAAAACCATCCATAACTCCAGTTCCAGGGGGATTTGATGCCCTCTTCTCACCTCCTGGGGCATTGCATGATATGAGTGCACTTTACGTACATTCAAGTAAAACACTCCTACACATAAAAATAATAAAATATTTTTTAAAAAATAAAATGGTTAAACTGGTAAATCCTATGTCATAAGAATTTGTATTTTTGGGGGGCTGCTATAACAAAATACCATAAATTGGGTAGCTTGTAAACAACAGAAGTTCCATTCTCATAACACTGGAGACTGAGAAGGTCCAAGATCAAGGTATGTGTCTGGTAAGCGTCTGCTTCCTCATAGACAAGGTTCTTCTTGCTGCATCCTCACATCCTGGAAGGGACAAAATTCTCTTATAAAAGATTAATTTGGGGCTGGAGAGGTTAAGCATTTATTGCTCTTGCAGACGACCTGGGTTCAATTCCCAGCATCCATGTCAGGCAGCTCACAACGGTCTGCTACTCTAGCTCCTGGGGAATCTGATGCCTCTGACCTCTGAGGGCACCTGCACTCATGTCTGCACACACACACACACACACACACACACACACACACACATACACACACACACAGAAATAAATAAATAAGTAAATAAATACCACAATTCTACTCATAAGGCTCTGCCTTCCTGATCACTTCACCTCCCAGGGACCCCTCACATATTAATTTTGTCATCTTGGGGATTAGGATTTCAACATATGAACTGGGAGGGGATTCAAACATTCAGACCTTAGCAGAATTTTACCTCATTTAAAGGAGTGTAGAGGGCTGGGGATACAGTTCAGTGCTAGAGTACTTGACTAGCGTGTGCAAGGCTCTGGGTTTCCAGTGTACTAAAACAAGACAAAAATACCTGACAGGAGAAAGAAGAAAAGAAAGGGGAAGGTAAGTAATACAGAACAGTGTTCTGGTTTACTTTCTGCAATTGTGACATGGTGATAACACCCCCAATCCAGTTCTCCAGCATCAGGGTAAATAACATATCAGTTAGTGCTACATAAAACAGCCCACAGCAGGTACCGAAACTAAATGTCAGTTGCCCTCTCTCCTTCACAAGTGTCTAGCCTGCTTGCTCCTTTATTTTTTATGACTCGGGTTGGTAGCTCCACCCTGACAGCCTGTCCTCACACAGTTCACCTTCTCTAGCTTCCTCCATGTGGCAGGTCATTGCACCATTGGGCATGCCCACTCCTATGTGAAGGCCATTGTGGTCCTTGGGCCACTGCTGCAGAATCACCAGAGAGCTGCCTCTGTGGAACTTACCCCTGAATCAGATGCTGCGTTTGTAGAAACTGCTCCTGAGTTTGAGAGTACAAGGTTAATTTCTGTCTCTTCTAGGAAGCCTACCCAGGTTTCTCCCCAGAGAAGCACCCTGATATCCAGAATACTCTCACCTTTGTCTAAGGTTACAAGTTCCATTAGATTCACCTTGGGTTCTACTGGGTGTGCTTATCTTCCACTGGACTGGAGGACTCCCAGGGATAGATGCCTGGCCTTCCCTTTCCCCCTGCCACTCTAAGCGCAGATGTTCCTGGTTCCTTCTGGGTGTGGATTCTGGTATGCTCAGGCGAGACTCTTTAAAGTTCTTAGAATCTTGCTTCATTTGTACCTGCCTATTCTTAAGAGCTAGCCTCTTAATCCTCCTAACATTCTATTTCCGACTTTCCAAATGGGCTGGAAATATCTTTTTGTGTCACACCAACTTTTGCTTTTCTAATTCCATCTTATACAGGATGCACTAGGTGTGGGCTGGCACCCACCCCACCCTAAGGTGACCATGGATCCTGGAGCCGGATCTGACTCATCTCTGACTGTCAATGAGCAGGTATCTTTTGGGGTGAGAGGTCAGGGTGGCAAGGGTGATGTACTGTGGGTGGGGTGGGCAAGGAAGGAAGACACAATGGAGCTTCTCATTATCAGTCTCTTACTAAAGTTCATGGTCATCCTACCTGTCCAGAGGGAATGTCCAGCTAGGATTTCTCAGAGGCCGAGTGTAGGGATTTAAGCTGTGACTTTGAAGTTAAATTTAAAATACACAAAGCTGGGCGTGTTGGTGCATAACTTTAATCCTAGCATTTGGGAGGCAGAGGCTAGCATACCTCTGTGAGTTGGAGGACAGCCTGGTCTTCATAGTGAGTTCCAGGCCAGCTGGAGCTACAGGGAGACCTTGTCTCAAAAAAACAAAAATAGGCCAGATATGGTGGCACATGCCTTTAATCCCAGAGCTTGGGAGGCAGAGGCAGGATCTCTATGAACTTGAGGACAGCCTGGTTTCCATACTGAATCCTGGCTGGCTGTGGCTACAGGAAGACACGGTCTCAAAAAGACCAACAAAAAAAAAACAAACAAAAAAAACCTCAAAATGAACAACAACAACAAAATACATAAATACCTGTAAGTCAGTCTGTATGCAGAAAGGTTTAAATGCGTGAATTAGTTTTTCTTCTATATATTTTCTAGTTTTTCCTGAAATATCTGTTTATTCCTTTTGGTTTTTATTTGATTTGTTGTTTTGTTGTCGTTGTTTGTCTTTTTGAGACAGGGTCTCCCTGTAGCCCCAGCTGGATTGGAACTTGCTATGTAGACCAGGCTGGCCTCAAACTCACAGAGATTTGCCTGCCTCTTTTTTTTTTCTTAATATATTACTTATTAGTATGAGTGTATTGCCTGCATGTATGTGAGTGCACTGTGTCATGGAATGCCACGGAGGTCAGAACAGGGCATTGGATTCCCCTAGAACTGGAGTTAAGCCTCCATGTGGGTGCTGAGAATCAAACCCTGGCCCTGTCCTCAAAAGAGCAGTCAGTGCACTTAATTGCTGAGCCATCTCTCCAGCTCCTGGTTTTTATTTGAGACAGGGTCTCACTATATAGCCCTGGTTGGCCTGGAACTTAACGATCTATACCAGGCTGACCTTAAACTCACAGAGATCTGCCTGCCTTTGCCTCCAAGTGCTGGGTAAAAGACGTGTCATCACACTGGGCTACTATTTGTGATTCTTGAAGGGTCTGTATGACAGCATTTCAGTGCTGAAGTTAAACAGCCTAGTGCAGAGCATTGGCTCAGGGGCACATGGAGGGTTCCCTTTCCACCTGAGAATGCCCACAGTATAAATAAAGTTCACTGGATACTTGAAGTGGGGTAGGGTGGGCCAGGAGAACCTGCATTTTAATGATTCCTGACCCTTCTTTCAGGAAGTTAATTTGCAGGGAAATTTTGACTTCCTGAGTGTTAAAAGTTACTCAGGAGCTGGAGCGATGGCTCAGTGGGTAAAAAGTGTTTGCAGCTCAAGACTGGTAACCCGAGTTAGATCCTCAGCACCCACATAAAAAAAGCTGGATGTGGTGCACCCCTGTAATCCAACACTCCTACAGTGAGATGAGAGGTGGAAATGGGAGACTGTCCCAGAAACTCAAGGGCCAGCTACCCTGGAGAACACAGCCTAGCAGAAATAAGAGAGACCCTGCCTCAGCAAGGTGGAAAGAGAGCACTAACTCCTGAAAGTTGTCCTCTGAACTACAAACACTGGCATACATATACCTACACTCATAAGCACAGATTACACATAAACAACAACAACAACAACAACAACAGCAACAACAATGAAAAATAGGGCCTTGAGAGATTGCTCAGTGGTTAAAGCACTGGCTGCTCTTGCAGAGGACCCAGATTTGTTTCCCAGCACCCACATGTCAGCTCATAACCATCTGTAGTTCCAGTTCCAGGAGATCTAACATCATCTTCTGGCCTCTGATGATAGTAGGCAGGAATGTGGTACACATTCATACCTGTAAAAGAAAAATAAATAAATAATTTTTTAAGTTATTAGCATTATGGAAATTCACTTCCCACACATTTATCTTTGGGAAACTCTCAGATGGTTTCCAGAGAAGTGAAGATAGATTTTTTTGTTTCTCAGTCCTAAGCTGTGGATAAGTACTAATATCCCAGCAGCTCAGAGGGTGTTCTTACAAACTTGTTGTGAAGGACCATGTCCTACTCACTGAACTAAGTCCAAGAAGAGGAGCAAATAAAGCATCTTCTAGTAGCTTGGCTTTGTGGGACTTTTCCCAGCTTGTGTCAGGCCCTTCTCTGCTTCCAGGGCCTGCTTTCTTCTGGCAGCTCATTGCCTAGAGTTGGGGACAGTAGCCTGGCCTGGCATTCTCAGTGCCCAGTTCTTTGGATAGAAATTCTGCATCTTGAATATTCCGTACCTCTCCTAGTCAGACCCAGAGCTCTGGCTCCTCTGCCACTGTCCCCTGTCCTCTGCTTGCAGGTCATCGTGATGTCAGGCCATGAGACCATCCGAGTGTTGGAAGTTGGAGTGGATGCCCAGCTCCCTCCTGAGGAGGAGGGTAAAGGACTGGAGGGTGTAGCTGCCGATGGCTCCCAGAGTGGAGGTCCTACTGAAGTCAGTGAATCTACTGGCGAAGCTGGGCTGCATGACCCAGACCCTGCTGCAGAAGAAACTGGTATGAAGCTATTGCTCTGATCTGATATTGCTCTCACCAGGCCCTTTCTGGGCCCAGGAGGCATTAGCATGTTGTCTTTCTGCCCCCTTGATAACCTCTGGCCACAGTCTGTACTTCTGGCCACTTTCCCAGCTTACTCTGTGCTCTTTGTTTCTGGAACTAGTTCTCCTTGCAGTCACATCCATGCCTAAATTGAGATGGTCCAGGGTGAGGATTGGCAGGATTTGTCCTAGAGGGGTGAATTAATGTCAGAGGGCCTCTAAGTCCCCACCAAACTGTCAGCCCAGTGCAGGAAAGACTGACCCTCAGGATCCTGCCAATTATCTGGCTCAGTCCCAATATGGCAGAGCCAGGAAATCTCAGGAGCCTGGGACGGAAGAGCATCTTGCCTTCCTCACACTAAGGTAATCCCCTGCCAATGCCTGCCTCCCTTCAGCAGGTTTACAGGTGCTGTCCTTCAAAACTGACCTCAGGGTATGAGCTGGATGCTCCTACCTTGCAGCTTTCGGGGAGCCACAGTCATGGAGATTGAGCTGCCAGTCCAGCCACTGCTCCAGCTGTGGAGTGCCTTCTACTTACTGACTTTCCTCAGAGCAGCCAATACCTTTTGCAGGGAGCCTTGGGCCTTCTTTGCCATTTCTTCTGAATACCATGATTATTCTCTACTGGCCTTCTCTATTCTTTTTTTTTTTTTTTAAATATTTGGGACTGTAGAAATGGCTCAGTGGTTAAGAGTGCTTGCTGTTCTTGCAGAGGACCTGGGTTCATTTCCCAGCACCCACATGATAACTCTAGTTCCAGGGGATCCGACACTCTCTTCTTGCCTCTGAGGGTACTGCATACATGCATTTACACACATTCAGGCAAAACACTCACACACCACACACACACATGCACATGCACACACACACACACAAATTAATTTTAAAAAATTTAAAAAGTGTTTGACAATCTCATACATGTATATTACTGAGTTTTAACCTTCTATATTATCCCCTCTCTCTCCCACTGAAACCCTTCTTCGCAGCAAGCCCCCTCTTACTTGGATTTTTAATTTTTGACCCACTGAGTTTATTTGTGGCTGCTTGCATGTGCTTGAGTAGGGAAATGTGGACAACCTACCACTGAAGAAAGTGATACCCCTCCCTGGGTACCCATTAATGGCCCATAGTCCCTCAGTGATGGTTGAGGCTTTATGAACCCCTCTCCCATGCATGATGAAATGGTGCCAGGCCTTGGGAAGGTGTCATGCAGGTAACCACAGTGGCAGTGAGTCCTGTTGGACCCCCAGACTGGGGTACCCAACGTTCATGGGAGGTCGCACCCCAATAACTCAGTCCTCAAATCAGGAGATGCAACAAGCATGAGGATTTATTGGCGTTTTGCAAAATGGACTCCCACCTCACTCGGAGGACAGAAGTCCAGAGCCCAGTTCACAGGTTTCTTTTAAAGACAAGCGGCGGCTATGTGCCAAGCAGAAAAGCGGCAGCTATGTGCCAAGCAGAGGTAGGGGGAATTTCTGGGATGATTTCCAGCTTGGGCAAGGAGCATGAAAAAGGTCAGCTCAGCTTGTTCTTTAGAATTCTTTTTCATTTTTACTTCCTTGTACAGTTTTTCTCAGGCCTGGGGGATTTTAGTTTAAATCCATAATTTTGGAGGGACTTGGGTCCATCATTTGGGGGGACTTGGGTCCATCAGTCCATGAGTGTAATAGCTGTGTCATGTTCTGAACACATCATTTCACAGTATTCCCCAGCCTCTGGCTCTAAATTCTTTCCACTTCCTCTTCCAAGATGTTCCCTGAGCCTCCAGAGGGTGATATAGGTGTTTCATTTAGGACTGAGCACTCCACATTCCACAGTCACTTATTCTCCATACTTTGACCAGCTGTGAGTCTGCATTAGCCACCACCCACTCTAGAAAGAAGCTTCTCTGATAAAGAGTAAGAGCAGCCTTAATCCAGTGATGGGCAGTGGGGTCCCAAGTCATGTGTTCCTGCTGTTCTTTATCTTCTCCTAGACTGGATATCATTGTGTAGATTTTGGGGAGCCTGGTGAGGAAAAGAATGACTACTTCCCCCCAATCTAGAAAGGCCTGCTTTGGTATGGAGGCCAGAACAGTCAGAACAGACAAGGACTCCAGCTTACCACCTGTCCACTCAGTAGTGCCACTGTGAAAATGGAGCCCCTTTTCAGGAAATTCGGGGACTTTATCCAGTGCCCTTTTCATCCATTTGCCCATCTTTTTTCTAGTACCTAATTCTGCCCATATCCAAACCTGCTCTCAGGAATGGATCCTGAAACATTTGGTCACATCTTCATATGAGTCTTTATGGTAGTGAGCATCTTATTTCACAAAAGTCTTCCTCTAGGGGCTGAAGAGATGGCTCAACAGTTAAGAGCCCTGGCTGTTCTTGCAGAGGACCAGGTTTGATTCCCAGCACCCACATGGTGACTAACACTCTGTACCTGCAGTTCCAGGGGAATCTGATGCCCTCTTTTGACCTCATCAGGCATTGTATGACATGGATGCATTTACAGGCATGCAGGCAAAACACTCATACATATAAAATAAAAAAAAATAAAAGTAAAGGAGTTTCACCAACCAGGTAAGGGAGATATTAGAATGGCATTGCTTGATTAGCTCAGAAATGATAGTGGTATCTAAGGCTGATGGAACCTTTCTCTTTCTCTCTGTGTGTGTGTGTGTGTGTGTGTCTGTGTGTATGTGTGTGTCTGTGTCTGTGTCTGTGTATGTCATGTTAAGAAGGATTCATGTTATTAAAAGAAACTAAATAATAGGAAACTTTTTTGGGAAGAAAAAGAATCTAGTGACTCAAGTCAGTCTAACATACCATCCAATCCTTGTCGCTTTGTCACATATGTGCATTTTTATGCTTATGGCTGGAGGGTGGACTCTGGAGTAGGAGATGCTCCCTGTGCTCTTTCATGTGCCCAGAAGTGGACTCACATACCTGCTTCTGATTTTGGCTAGTCTCACTTTTTTTTTCATTCTCATAAGCAGTAACTCTTTGAACATCTTTGTACCGATCCTTATTTTTTTCTTCATGGTGTAGTCCACTAAAATTCCTTTTGAAGCTAAATTATTTTGAAGCTAATGTTGTGACACATGCCTGTAATCCTAGCACTAAAGAGGTTGAGGCAGGGGGATAACCATGAGTTTGAGACCAGCTTGAGCTACATGGTGAGTTCCAGGATAGCATGGGTATAGTGTGAGACTTTGTCTCAGGAAAAAAAGAACTATTTGTTGACATAGCAATATGAAGAGAAGCAATTGGTTTCAAGGTGCTGCTGTCTGTTAAGCCAGAAGTAGAAGTGAAAAAGGACTGAGAATTTGCTTATAGCTAGAACGCTTGTCCAGTCTGCACCAGGCTCTGGGTTCAATCCCCCAACCACATAAAACTGGATGTGTTGGTACACCGTTGTAATTCCAGCACTTGGGATGTGGAGGCAGGAGCATCATGAGTTCAGTCATCCTCAACTATATCTGGAGTTTGAGACAAGAAAAAAGAAAAGGACAGTGATAAAGCTGGAGTCAAGTATACAGAGCATGCCAACAATCCCAGCATGTGGAACACTTGGGAAGCTGAGGAGCGAGGAGTCACGGCCCACCTAAGTTCAAGACCAGCCTGGGCTCCCGGATGACAGCTTGTCTCAAGTCAAAAAACAAAGCAAGTTGGGGCTGGAGAGATGGCTCAGCGGTTAAGAACACTGGTTGTTCTTGCAGAAGACCTGGGTTCAAATCCCAGCACCTACATGGCAGCTAACAACTGTCCATAACTCCAGTCCCAGGGGATCCAACAGCATCTTCTGACCTCCGTGGGCACTGCATGACACAGGTGTACTTACCTACATGCAGGCAATACACGCATACATGTAGAATAAAAAATAAAAAAAGAAAAAAAGAAAATTAAAAAAAAAGAAAAAAAATCAAGCCAGGCGTGGTGGTGCACAAGGTCTATGAGATTGAGGCCAGCTTGATCTACACAGCGAGTACCAGGCCAGCTGGGGCTACAGGGAGACCCTGTCAAAGAGCCAAAAAAAAAAAAAAAAAAAAAAAAAAAAAAAAAAAGAAAAACAATGAAAACTAGCTAAATTAAACTAGAGGGTGCTGTGGCAAAACAGGTACTTCGTTGGTGCTTCTGAGTTTAGTCTTTCTGCAAGATTTCGTAGATCTCCATGGTTCTGGTTTTTTTGTTGTTTGGTTGGTTTTGTATTTTTGAGCTAGCACTTCATGAAACCCAGGCTGCCCTCTAGCTCACTATGTAGCTGAGGCTGGCCTTGTATTACTGATCCTCCTGCCTCTACCTCCCAAGTACTGAGATTATGGGCATGCACCACCAAGCTCAAACTGGCCTTGAGCTCACTTTGAATTCTCTATTCTCCTGCCTCAGACTCCTGACTGAGATTAGAGGCCCGTCTATGTTGCTACTTTGGAACTATGCCCTAATAAAATGAGTGTTTCATTTCTTTAGCTTGGTAAGCTTTAATCAGTTATCACATTCCCATTTTCTCTATTTATTTATTTAATTATATATATTTATTTATGTGTGCTGTGTGCGTGTGTGTGTGTACAAACATGCTGTGGTGTGTGTGAGGAGGTCAGAGGACAACATTCAAGAGTTGGTTCTCTCCCTCTACCCTGTGGGTTTCAGGGATCGAACTCAGGTCTTCAGGCTTGGTGGCAAGTGCTCTTACCTGCGGAGTCATCTTACCAGTCCCTGAATGCTGAGTCCCAGCACTCAGGAGGCAGAGGCAGGCAGATTTCCGTGAGTTCAAGGCCAGCCTGGTCTACATAGTGAGTTCCAGGACTAAAGGTGTGCACTACCATGCCCGGCTTCTCTCTTTCCTCTTATGTTTCATCACACTATGTCCAACAAAATTCTTTAATTGTTCATATGTTCATATTCTCCTTATGTTTTGTTTGGGGTTTGTTTTTTGTTTTTTGTTTTTGGGGTTTTTTTTGTTTTGTTTTGTTTTTTTGAGACAGGGTCTCCCTGTAGCCTGTCTCTGCTTCCCAAGTGCTGGGATTAAAGGCGTGCGCCACCACGCCCAGCTTCTTTTTCTATTTTGTAAGGCCTGTGCTGTGTGTATGTTTCTTTAGTTCTTTACACTTTCTGGGTTTAATGATGATGTCCTGGGAACTGTACAGTATTGGTTAGGTTGAAGCCCTTCCTAACGAAAACATAAGCTGGGACTGCAGAGTTGGACTTACCTTTAAAGACATCTAATTCCGTGTTTCTCACTATGCTGAGTGCTGATCAAAGATGAACTTTAAAAAAGGGAGCGAGGAGAACTTACTGGTCTCTACTCCTGATTTAGTAGACCTGGATTAAATTCTAGAAACACCTTCCCAGCCAGAATTAAGAAGCCACTGAACAATCCCACATCCACCACCCAAGAACTAGATTCTGTTTTGTGTTTTGCAGAGCTGGAGATTGAAGCTAAGGCCTTATGCATGCCTGGCAAGCACTCTACCCCCGTGTTATATTCCCAGCCTTAGAATACTTTTATTGTCTGAATTACAAAATTGTAATTCTTGTCTCACTGCTTTGTGGCTGTGATGAAGTTTCCTGGCAGGGTACCCCAATTTCTGAATTAGTCAAGTAAGAGGAGGCGAAAGGCTGCAGTTTATGGAAAGTTCTTTTGGAAATCCATAGAAACTGTTCTTGACTTTGTATGAGTGTTTTGTGTTTTTGTTTGTTTGTTTGTTTGTCTTGAGACAGGGTTTCTCTGGAGCCCCAACTGGCCTGGAACTCCCTATATAGACCAGGCTGGCCTGGGATCTCATAGAGACCCTCCTACCTCTGCCTCCTGAGTGCTGGGATTAAAGGTGTGCGCCACCAACCTGCCTGTTCTTGACTTTGGACCTCAGAGAATCGCAGAAAAAAATTAGCTGGCCTGGAGAGCTTCTGAGACATCGTAGTGTGGCAAAGATACATCCAATTTTCAGGGATTTTGCACTGCAAGGCCTCCTGTTCCTTCTCTAAGACAGCACTTTTTGCACCTAAAAAAGTCATCTGCATGTGGGATAAAGAACAATTCAGTTGCTGGCTGCTCTTGCCAAGTTTGGCTTCTTCTCTTCCTGCCTTATGTTTGCTTCAGGCTCCTTGACTGCTATATAGTAGGTCAGTGTCCTATAGAGCCAGGCAATGAAGGGCTGAGAGCCAGCTGAACAAAAACCTGCATTTCCTTCCTCTAGATGTGGGAAGAGGGCTGGTCCAGGGCTCCCTAGCTTCATACGTTCACTACTAGCACTGGGGAGACTGCTTCATGCATAAGAGAAGGCCACCAACTGATCTTTGCCTATGTGAAAATACAACACGGGGCTGGATTTGCCACTTTGGGCTGCAGACAAAATCCTCTCCTCTAGTCACCTGTCCACTCACAGGCTCATTCCTTGTCCTCCTTTCTCTCAATGCCATGTGAAGTGAAGTCGCTGCCGGGGATCCCTCCAAGTCCTGCCCCTGCAATGGCCACCTTCAGTCAAGCCCCAAGTCAGCCTCAGGCATCACAGACCCTGACACCACTGACTGTACAAGCTGCCCCTCAGGTAAGGACTATGCCAGGGAGCTGGACAGAGGGCAGTGGGCAGGAACAAGCATGGGGTGGTCATGTGGTCTGGAACTGCATGAGGCAGAACAGGGAAAGGGCTGTGGCTTGAGGAAGGTCATCTTCTTACTAGATATCCCTAGCTTTCCCCTGCCCCAGATTAGGCCCATTGGAAAAGAGGATCTGTGTTTGTGGGACAGTCTCCTTGGGTCCAGAGGGTTGGTGTTAAATCTTTCACACTGCAAGAATTTGTGCTTTATCTGATGATGAAATGAGTGAACACCTTTGACAGCCCCTCCAGCAGATGCGTTGAAGAGTTCTCAGTTAAGTTAGAGAACAGCTCCAGCACTAACAAGCTGCCTGCAGACCCTGCAGGCCATCAGAGCCAGGGTGACCTCTGCTCCATGCACTGACCTCCAAGGCATCTAGTCAAGGATGTCCTCCTCCAGAGTTTCTTGGAGGCCTCTGTGGGTCCCTGACCACTTGATTGCAGCCTCTGGTCCCTGTTCCCTGGCCACAAAACACTGGTCATGCCAGCAAGGGCCCAGGGAAGGTTAACAGGCATCAGATAGTGGGTTGAAAAGACCTGTGCACCCTATGCCCAAATGGGCCTCGTCCTGATTTGGGCAACTTCTCTGCAGGCAGGATAGTCTGATCCAGGCACCGCAGGGTTAGGCCTTTGGTTGGGGCTTGGCTTTTCTTGCCCTCTTCTGGCCTTTTCCCCACTGCCCTCAGAATGCTTGTTTGTGCTCAGCTGGGTCCAAGAGACCCAGTGTTTGCGCTGTGGATGTTGATTTTTTTTTTTATTTTTTCTTTTCTTTTTGAAATCTCGTTTGCTTTTGCAGGTCTTGACTCAGGAAAACTTAGCCACAGTTCTGACAGGAGTTATGGTTCCAGCAGGGGCAGTTACTCAACCTCTTCTTATCCCCATCAGTATTGCAGGTCAAGTGGCTGGGCAGCAGGGGCTGGCCGTGTGGACAATTCCTACAGCAACTGTGGCTGCCCTCCCAGGACTGACCGCTGCTTCTCCTACGGGGGGAATTTTCAAGCCACCTTTAGCTGGTCTCCAAGGTAACGGCAACTCTCCCCAGGACTGCAGCAGGCCCCCACCACCCTACACTACCACCCCTGCACGTGTGCTTACCATGTTGGACTCAGAACCCACGGCCCACCCAGGGCAACAACCCTGGAGTCTGGATCCAGTGTCCTAGCACCCAGGCACAGAGCCGCTACACCACTTTGGGACTCTTAAGGCTGGTCAGCAGGCCTTCCTCCAGCCAGCTTCTTGAGACCGCCCCTTCCCCCACGCCAGAATTCACCCAATGACCAGCCTCCAAAGAAGGACTGCAAGAAGACTGGACATCTGGTTCTTGAACCGACATGTCTACTGACCCAAGGGAGGGGGGATGAGAGATGTTGGCATGTGTCAGCCCTTCAAGAATCAAGGGAATTGCAGCTGCCCCATGCCCACTGCCCCCAACCCCCTGTGGTTCTTGTGCCAGATCCCTTGGGACTGGAGCCATGCTGGGCCGTGGCTAGGTGTTTGAGCACCTCTGTCTCTACCTTGCTCCGTAGCAGCTGCCATGTTGAACACCGCTCTCTCGACACCCGTACAAGCTGCCCCACCAGTCCAGGCCTCCTTGCCCACCCAGCCCCGACCACCAGCGCAGCCCCAGACGCTATTTCAGACTCAGCCGCTGCTGCAGACAACACCTGCCATCCTCCCACAACCCACTGCTGCTCCTGGTGCTGCGCCCACTCCCAAGCCGGTGGACACCACCTCACAGATCACCGTCCAGCCTGCAGGCTTCGCATTTAGCCCAGGGATCGTAAGCTGCTGCCCTCACCCAGAGCTGACCAGGGATGGACCAAATCTTGGGTCAAGGGTGGAACTGACCCCTACAGTGGCGGCCCAGCCCCTTGAATACAGCCCTTTCAATACAGTCCTTTCCAACACATCAGCAAACATGGGCTCCTTCTGAGGTCTTCTCCTTGCCGCTGTCAGACCCAGACTAAAGCAAACCACCTCTGCCAAGAGGCCCCAGGCAGATTCTCAAGAACCTGAACCACTGGACCAGCTTTGGGGGTGGGATGCATAGGAATGGCAGACTTGTGAGCTGCGGGAGGTTCACAGCTTCATGCTGGTATCTAGCCATTGTGGCTCCTGGCCTGGGGTAGAGCTGTAAGGTGTGACTGGGACCACATTTGTCCTTCTAGTCTGGCCCTTCTACTAGCCTCACAGACCTAGCTGGAAAGATTTTAACCAGAGTTACTGTGTTCTGTGACTGTGTTCCCTTCCCCACCATCCCCTTGTATCCTTTACCTAGCTTTGAATATTCAACCAGTGGACATGGGCCTGGAGCCCACATTCACCTCTGCCCACCAGTACCCTGAGCCCTCCTCCCTCTCTCTGGTCTCTTTCTTACCTCTTAGCTTCTGAGCATGGCTCTTCCTCCACCCACAGATCAGTGCTGCTTCCCTCGGGGGACAGACCCAGATCCTGGGCTCCCTTACTACAGCTCCAGTCATTACCAACGCCATTCCCAGCATGCCAGGGATCAGCAGTCAGATCCTCACCAATGCTCAGGGACAGGCAAGTGTTCAAAGCCAGGGCTGAGGGGTGAGGGCTGTGGGGTGACTGGCCAGAGAGAACTTGGTTTAAGGGTCATAGAAACACAAAGAGGGCACAGCACTGATTCGATTTGCAGGGCAACCACTTTGTAGCCAGGCTCTTGCTAGGTCCTTTCTTGTATATTGTTTCACTTTGTTTTGAGTACAAATCTATCAGAGAGGAAATTTTTGTTTTACAGGAGAAAAGGATGAAGTTCAGAAATATTAAACCTCATAGCTAAAATGTGGCAGAACAGTGATTAGCTTCCAGTTCTCTGATTCACAAAAAGCCTTGACCTGCTACACTGCAGCTCTTGGGACAGAATAAAGAAACCCCTAGGCTGAATCCTTTATTGAGGAAACAGGCCAGAGGGCTTAAATGATTTCTCCCAGTTAGTTTCTTTCCCTGCTGCTGTTGGAATTCTGGTTGGTGGTAGAACTGGGTGCCACCCTCACCCTTGGGGCCCATGCCTTATTTCCTCTCAGGTTATTGGAACACTTCCATGGCTAGTGAACTCAGCTAGTGTGGCGACTCCAGCACCAGCGCAGAGCCTGCAGGTCCAAGCCGTGACTCCCCAGCTCTTGCTGAATGCTCAGGGCCAGGTGATCGCAACCCTAGCCAGCAGTCCCCTGCCTCAGCCCATGGCTGTCCGGAAGTCAAGTACACCGGAGTCCCCTGCTAAGAGTGAGGTACTAGGGCTGGGGGTGTGGGTGGGCAGGGAAAGGCAATGCTATCTAGCATAGCTGCTTCCCTCTGAGACTTCTGCAAGAACAGGGTACCTCTCAAAAGTGAGGAGAGCTCCCCCAGTAGAAGGCCTATGTGAGTTTACACATGCCCTGCCCAGGGAAACCGCATTCACACGCAGTCCTATCTCCACCACACACCAAAATGTCTATTTTGGAGACAGTGGGGGGTGAGTAGTCCAAACAGACTGGACCTGAATCAGTCTCAGGTTGAACAAACGGCTGGAAAAGTCCTGGGAGAGTAATTCTGTACCCCTCCTACCCTAGACACACACATGCATGCGCATGCGCGCACACACACACACTGACTCTCTCGGCACCGGGGCTTTAACTTCATTTCTGTTTCCATTCCTGAAGAGATTCTGAGTCCCTATTATATTCCATGTGCTAATGATAGAAAGATGACTAAGATGTGCTTGCCAGCCTTACGTAGCTCAGTGTTGGAAATATAACAAGTCAGTGTGATAAAGGCGATGACGGGGCATGACTAAGTCCTTTGGTGCTCCACGAAGGAAGCCCTGACAAACCAGAAGTCAGGATGGCTCCATAAAGAAGGGACGAGTTGGATGTGAGAGTGTTCTGTCTTTGGGGAACTGGAGCAAGAACAGTATGCTAGAGCATGGTTCTCAGACTTGCTCATCAGAATCTCCTGCAGGGCTTGTCAGGATGAAGTCTCTTTTCCAATAGATCTAAAGTAGGACCCAAGGATGTGCAAAGTTCCCAGGTACATTGAGGCCCATGGTTGTCCAGTATTGAATATTGCTGCTTCCAAGCTTTGTAAATCATCCCTTAGCCTCAACTGTGTAACAAGGATTCTAAGCATCCCTACTTTGGTTATGTGTGGTAGTGCACATCTATGATCTCAGCATTCAGGAAGAGAAGGTAGGGACATCCCAAGTTTGGCCAGCCTGGACTACATAGGGAGTTCAATGCCAGCCTAGGTTATAGGACCCTGTCTCGGAAAAAAAAAAAAGTGCCTACTTGAGTGTAGCAGGTCAAGGCTTTTTGTGAATCAGAACTGGAAGCTAATCAGTGTTCTGCCACATGAATGTTATACATAAGCAGCTGACACCTTGGTATACAATTAGCACTTGGCAAATGACATTTCTTACCGTTCTCACTGTCACCAGGAAAAGGGGAGCTGCTCATGGGTTTTAAATGGCTTATCAGGTGTGCATTAAAAAACCCTCTGTTATCTTGGTGGATACAAGAATCAGGCTATTGTGAGACTTGAATTTTTGTGACCTGTTAGTAGCAGTTTAAGTTTGTCTTTTTCTTGGTGGTATTGGGGATCAAACTCAGGACCTTGCTCATGAAGGTCAAATGCTTGACCACTGTTCCCTCTGCCCTGGCAGTTCTAGTCAAAGAGAGTCAAAGAGCTCTGTACTAAGGTTCTCGGGATGAAGGAATAGATTTGAGAGCTATCGGGAGACAATGCAGGAAATAGAAAATTCTGATAAAACCTGCACTTCCTAAAAAGCTTTTGAGTTTGCTTGTATTTGTTTTTAAATAATAATAATAATGCTAATTTCATATATTTATAGTTTCTCCTGGTCATAAATAAGATATATAACTTTAATCCAAATTTCAACATTATATGTCATCTAAAAAGTAAAAATTAGGACTGGAGAAAGAGCTCAGCAGTTAAGAGCTCAGGCTGCTATTGCAGAGGACCCAGGTTTGGTTCCCAGCACCCACATGGCAGCTCAGAACTGTCTGTGATTCCTGTTCCAGGAAATCTGATGCTCTGTTCTGGCCTTCATGGGCAGAACTTCATGAGCAGAACTTCATGTGCAATACTCATAAATAAAAATACATGATTTTTTTGTCTTTTTGAGACAGGGTCTCCCTGTAGACCCAACTGATCTGGAACTGGCTATGTAGACCAGGCTGGCCTCAAATTCACAGAGATCCACCTGCCTGTGCCTCTTGAGTGCTGGGATTAAAGGCATGCACCACCATGCCCAGCTAAAATAAATGAATTTTTAAAAAAGTATAAATCAGGGCTGGAGAGATGGCTCAGCAGTTAAGAATACTGGCTGCTCTTGCAGATAATCCAGGTTCGATTCCCAGCACCCACATGGTAGCTAACAACTGTCTGTAACACCAGTTACAGGAGATCCACTGCCCTCTTCTGACCTTCGAATACATTGCACAACACAGGTGCACTTACACACATGTAGACAATACACTCATACACATAAAATAAAAATAATAAATAAAATATTTTTAATGTAGAAATCAGACTGTGGTAACCCAGGTTCGATTCCCAGCACCCACATGGTAGCTAACAACTGTCTGTAACACCAGTTACAGGAGATCCACTGCCCTCTTCTGACCTTCGAATACATTGCACAACACAGGTGCACTTACACACATGTAGACAATACACTCATACACATAAAATAAAAATAATAAATAAAATATTTTTAATGTAGAAATCAGACTGTGGGGCCTGGGGAGATGGCTCAGTGCATAAGGTGCTTGATGTGCAAGTGTGAGGACTGGGGTTTGACTCCCAGGTAAGTGCTGGGTGGGTGGGAAAGTCACCTGTTATTCCACTGCTCAGAAGGCACAGACAGAGGACCCCAGGGCAAGCTACTAGCCAAACTAGCCATATAAGTGAGCTCTGTGTTCAACTGAGAGACCCTCCTAGTGTCAGCCTCTGGCCTCTACACTCATGCACACATGCACCCACACACACACACATGCAAACAAACATGCATAAGGACATGCAAATAAACATGCATAAAGACATGCAAACACACCACACACGTGCGCGCAAGGGAGGGAGGGAGGGAGGGGAAGGGTGAGAAAAAGAGAGAGAGAGAGAGAGAGAGAGAGCGAGAGAGAGAGAAAGAGAGAGAAATCAAGCAATGTTGTAGTACATTTCTGTAGTCCCAGCACTTGGGAGATGGAGGCAGGAGGATCAGGAGTTCAAGATCAGTCAGAGAGGGCACAAGACCAGTTTATCCTGAGTGGGTATTAGTAGGCAGCTTCTAGTCCTGCTTTAAAATTTTTTTATTTATTATTTTTATTTTATGTGTATGAGTGTATTGCCTGTATGTGTGTAAGTGCACCCGTGTTGTGCAATCCCAGCAGAGGTCAGAAGAGGATGTCAGATCTCCTGGAACTGGAGTTATGGATGGTTGTTAGCCACCATGTAGGTACTGGGAATCGAACCCGGGTTCTCTGCAAGAGCAACCAGTGCTTTTAACCCCTGAGCCATCTCTCCAGCCCCCCAGTCCTGCTTTTTAAAATATTTATTTTTAGACAGGCACGGTGGCTCACGCCTTTAGTCCCAGCACTCAGGAGGCAGAGGCAGGCAGATCTCTGTGAGTTCAAGGCCAGCCTGGTCTACATAATGAGTTCCAGGTCAGCTGGGGCTACAGGGAGACCCTGTCTCAAAAAGACCAAAAAAAATTATTTATTTTTATTTTATGTATATAAACAAGTGTTTTGTCTGCATGTATGTAAGTACACCCATGTTGTACAATGCCTGTGGAGGTCAGAAGAGGACATTGGAACTGGAGTTAATGGACCATAGTTGACTGCCATGTGGGTGCTGGTAGCTGATCCCTGGTCCTCTGCAAGACCTAGCAGTGTTCTTAACTGCTGAGCCATCTCTCCAGCCCCCATAGTCCTGCTTTTTTTTGTGGGCACAGATGGGAATGTGCTGGGTGCTTCAGGATTTCATGCCCATTTCTGCCCTCTTGTTGATCTACCCAGGGATTCTGACCCCCTGAGTTTGGCAAAGGGAAATGGGGGCTTGTCTCTCTTCTCATAGGTACAGCCTATCCAGCCCACACCAGCTGTGCCCCAGCCTGCCATGGTCATCGCCAGTTCAGCCCCAGCAGTCAAGCCATCTGCCTCAACTCCCATCCCAATCACCTGCTCAGAGACCCCCACAGTCAGCCAGTTGGTGTCTAGTAAGTGATTCTTGGAAGAGGAATGTGGATCTGGGGTACCTGGTATGTATCTGAGGTCCCAACTACTCAGGGGGCTGATGATTCTTTTAGCCCAGGAGCTTAAGGCCAGCCCTGGCAACATAGAGACCCTGTCTCAAATAAATCAGTTAGAGTCCCAAAGTGAAGAAATGACTTTCTTTAGAAATAATTTTTTTTAACATTTATTTATTTAGTGAGAGACAGGGCACCTGCATCCCCTGTATGTCTGTGGAGGGCAGAGGACAACTTGTGGGAGTCAGTTCTTTACTTCTATCTTGTCCCTGTGGTTCCCAGGGATTGAACTCTGATCCTCAAGTTTGGTAGCAAGTGCCTTTATCCACTCAGCCATCTTGCCAGCCCCAAGAGATAACCCCTTTTTTTGGTTTGAGATGGGGTCTCCTTGGAGCCCAGCTGGCCTGGAACTCAGTATGTAAACCAGGTTGGCCTCAGACACACAGATCCTCCTACTTCTGCCTTCCAAGTTCTGGGGTTAAAGGCGTGTACTACTACACGAAGCAAGAGATGACTTAATCCTGTTCCTGTTGAGTTGGTTCTGAGTGCGATGAAAGTGGAGGCTGCTCAGCTGGTTGTTGGGTTGCTTCTCCGAGTGGCTACACCACTGGCTAGCTCTGTGAGCTCTCACCCAGTCTGAAGGAATGCAGATGATCAACAGTTGTACTTGGGACAGGAGTAAAGAGCATGGGGGAGGCTCAGCAGTTTGAGCTGGGAGAACCTGAAAGTAGACTCTCTGAATAGGTTGTTCCAGGCCCTTTTCTGCAAGTCTTGCTTGTTTAGGAGACAGGGAAGATGAGGGTTTTTTGATAAGTGTTCTCATCCCTCACACTGCACCAGTCTAGACCCATCTAGACCTATCTAGATCTAGGGCCAGATAAATAGTGACATTCCCATTCCCATTGTATACATTCATCCCCGGTCCTTCCCTCTGGTCTAGAGCCTCACAATCCGAGTCTGGATGAGGATGGGATCAACTTAGAAGAGATTCGGGAGTTTGCCAAGAATTTTAAGATTCGGCGGCTCTCCCTGGGCCTTACACAGACCCAGGTGGGCCAGGCTTTGACAGCGACAGAAGGTCCTGCCTATAGCCAATCAGCCATCTGCCGGTGAGTGAGACTGTCTTGGATAAAGTCAGGGCCTGCTCAGTGCCACCACCAACTCTCATAGGGACCTAGGCATCTGACCCTTTTCACGTTTTCCCTCGTTCCTGGCTCCTTCCAGGTAAGAAAGACTGTCCTGAGGGGGACATTGACACTTGGACTAGCCAAAGACTGACCAAGGCTTTCTAGGGTTCTCTGAAGTAAATCTAATTGTAAACATTTAGCTTTCTCTCTCTCTCTCTCTCTCTCTCTCTCTCTCTCTCTCTCTCTCTGTCTTTTTGAGACAGGGTCTCCCTGCAGCCCCAGCTGGCCTCGAACTCACTATGTAGACAAGGCTGGCCTCAATCTCACAGAGATCCACCTGCCTCTGTCTCCCAAATGCTGGAAATAAAGGTGTGTGCCACTATGCCCAGCTGGATGTTCATCTTGAGGGAACCCAAGACCCAAATCCATTGAGGAATCCTACCAGGAAAGTAGTATAACTTTAAAAATTGTTCTGTATTGGTCTTCAAGTAGTCCATACCCTGGCGTGCTTCCAGCCCCCGCCTCCACCCCATACCTGCCATGCGAGCTCATCTGGCATCTTTCACCATGCTGCTAAGAGAGGGCAGTGGAAGGAGGCCAGTTTTCACTTCTGGAGGCCACCCAAGATGATTTCTCAAATGACTTGGGTCATTTGGGGGTGAAAGTTCTCCACTAGTTGTTTAGGAAACGCTTGTCCTTGCCCTGCTGAGCTAAGGCTGTGGGCATGGTCTCCTTGTTGGGGAGATTCTGAGGAATCTAAGCTTGGAGGGGCAGGGAGGTGGAGGACACTGGATAGGAGAGGAGCAGCCCCCGTGTGTAATGCTTTGCCCTCTGTGTAAGGTATATGGAAGAGATGTGCCACACTGTCTGTCCCTTCCACAGGTTTGAGAAGCTGGACATCACACCCAAGAGTGCCCAGAAGCTGAAGCCAGTGCTGGAGAAGTGGCTGAATGAGGCAGAGCTCCGGAACCAGGAAGGCCAGCAGAACCTGATGGAGTTTGTGGGTGGTGAACCCTCCAAGAAACGCAAGCGCCGCACTTCCTTCACACCACAGGCCATAGAAGCTCTCAATGCCTATTTTGAAAAGAACCCACTGCCCACAGGCCAGGAAATCACCGAGATCGCTAAGGAGCTCAACTATGACCGAGAGGTTGTGAGGGTCTGGTTCTGCAATCGGCGTCAGACGCTCAAGAACACCAGCAAGTTAAACGTCTTTCAGATCCCTTAGAGCTCTGTCCCAGTCCTGTGTTCCAGCACTTTCTACTCTTCCCTTGGCAACCCAGCTGTCACTGCCATGACAGTGCCTATCATGTGCAGCTGTGCTTGCCCTCGGTCATGAGACTACTGTCTGCATGTGTGTCAATGCCTGCCTCTTCTGCCCCACGTATGTCACATCCTGGGGAGGCTTGAGGGGCTGTGCTCTGGGCTAGGCATGCCGAAGAAGGGGATTTGTGGTGTCCTTTTGAGAAGCACTTTGCTAACATGGTTTCTGAAGGGTGAATTCTGGTTGAGAACCAGAAAGGTTCTGTCTTTGGGACAGGGCTGTAGCCTCCTGGGACCATTGGATATTAGCTCTTGTTTTCAATGGCACTCTCCCCCCTCTTCCCCTTTCCTCTTCTATGGTTGTGCCAGTTTGACAACTCACCCAGTGGAACTACAGGCTCACACTGCCGTCCCCTAATTTGTATACAGGCATACTGAACCCCTTTTAAGGACAAAGGAGATAAGGTTGAGAAAAGTATGACTTGCTACTCAGACTCAATGCCCTGACCTCAGGGTCAGAAGGTCCCTAAAACCTTGGTGCCAGACCACATGGGCTCCTTTCCCTGGTTCCTTTGGTGGTGGTGGTACAATTGCATTAAGGCAGAACCTTTCCTTCTATAATCCAAGTTGGAATGAAGCAACAGTACTCTTCAGCCTGGAGTTGTCCTGGGTCTGGAATTCAGCAAATAAGGCCATCTTCCCAGATTTTAATATAATCTCTGTCCATGGCTATCTCTCAACTAAAGGAGAGTGGTTAGGAGAGGACTTTCAGCTTTGGAAAATTCCCACTGCCCACTTAAGCTGGCAGCTCTGGGAAAAACAAATGAGGAAGGAATCTGACACTCTCCTCTTGTGCTCATACTGACCCCAATCCAGTACTGGGGTCTTCTCAGAGGATCAACTTAAACCATAAACCAGTCAGCTAGGAGCTGGGGTAGGGAGGACACTCTCCAGAAAGAGATGATGATACCCAGGAAGGTCTTTTGTGGAGGCTACCTTAACTCTAGTTTTCTGTGTAACTTGAGTCTTGGGTATCGGCAACCTCTCACTTTGTTCAGTCATAGACCTAGTCTGTGTGAGAGCAAGCCCCCATTACTCCTCTGAGCCAAGAATGCCCCAGGTCAGGATGGGTTTTGCCTTTAGAGGTGGCAACCACGGCACTCTGAGGGTAGACACTCTCATGCAAGCAGCTAAGTGAGTCTCCCTGTGGCTGGACAGCCCTTTCAATTCAGTATGTTGGCTGAGGAATGTAGCTCAGCAGTAGAGTACTTACCTAGCATGTGCAAAGTTCTGGATTCGGTCTCTGTCACTGAGGAAAAAAAATGAGTACGTGATGCCAGGAGGTCAGGAAAGAGCTAAGACATTTGCTTGGATGACCCGACTTGCTGTGTAGACTGTCCCTAAAGGGCCACAAGGTCCAGGAATCAATCACTTCACTACTTTTTTGTTTATCTGTTTTGTTTTTGAGACAGGATCTTATGTAGCCAGGCTGACCTCAAACTTGCCATGTAGCTGAAGATGACCTGGAACTCCTGATCTTCCTGCTTCCACCTCCCAAGTGCTAGGATTACAGGCATGTGCCATTGTGCCTGGATCTTCACTACTTTTAGCCTTACAGAGCCTGGTCTTTAGCAGCTGTTCACCACTGTACCTCACAAGATCTACCCTGAGTGATGCTCAGACAAGGAGGCATCACCACCCCTACTGGTGCAGAGCTACTTTCAGTCTCTCTTCCTCTGGTGCACTGCGTTCCCTTTCCTGCTTACTGCTAGTGAACGTAGGCTCTGCAGAGCAAGTATGGAGGCCCTCTTGGTAGCCCTGCCGGTGAGAGTTATATGCTGAATCAACACACACGCTCCACTGCATTCAACCCAACCAAGCCTGTGGGATTACAGTGGGAAGTAAGGAGGCAGGAGAGCATTCTAGGTCAGGATTATCAACCTGCCTTCATGAGATGGAACTTCAGTCAGGAGGGCTACTGTAAACAAGTTTTCAGTAGGAATTCTTAGTACTGCAGTTTGTCAAGGCGATTCACACTTCAGTGACTCACAGGCAGCTTAGCATGCCTCTTAACCCAAATACCATGCACTCAGAAGTGTTGCTTTTTGTGAGGTAGCCAAGCAGGTCACAGCTGGTGCCTTGGGAGTAGCATATAACACAGGGTATATTTATGCTGTGGACATGCAAGATGATCTGTGCCATGGCAGGAAAAAAAAATCATGAGTCACAAGTCTAAATTAGGTCATATCTTCTTGACCCCTCCTTTGTCTAAATATGTCTTCCCAATGCTTGGCTGGGACAACCATTTTCCTCCTCTGCTGCAAAGATGGATTGGTCTTTCAGAAGAACAATACCAGGGCCTGAACATTTGCAGGCTGGACTTCTCAAGTAGTGGGGGTGCAAGGTATGCTTAAAGTGTACCCAAAGTAGGGCTCACTGGCCTGTGAACTCTGCCCTTGCTCTCCCACTGTAGACCCCCCAGGAAGCAGCTAGCATCTGGGCCACTAATCTATACTGGACACTAATCTGCAAGGCAATTTTGTTATTTTGATTTTTGGTAGCATCGGCGTCTGAAGAAAATTTTGGTTTTATTTTGAAAGCATGTTCCTGGAATTAAGTCTGAGCTCAGTGGCTCTTTTGGCCCAGAAAGACAGGAGAATGGGCAGAATGATTTAACTGTATGGATGGTTTGTTTTAAGTGAACTTTCTATGGCCTGCTGAATCAGCTACAGCCTTTGACCATGCACTAACCACAGCATTTTATCCAAGCAAAGTCCAGCAAAGAATTTGGTCATGTGAACTGAGGAACACACTTGAGTTTGGAATGCAAAGGCCTGATGTGTTTGTGTTCTTGGAAACCAGTCACCTTCCTATGCCTAAGCTTCCTTTCTTGCCTCATAGGCCAGATCCCAACATTGAAGTTCTGACCATCCCCCAGCATGGGGCACTGCCAGTATACTGAAGGCTGGAGGGACAGATGGAGGAAAAGACCTTGATGGAGTTGTGTGAAATAAACAGTATTTTTCTTTTGTACTGGTCTGCCCGTTTTGTTTACCTCCGAAATATAAGGGAACCAGTGTCAAAGGCCAAGGAAGTGTCAATAGCCTTTGCTATTGGCTTGCCTGGAGAGCCCCACTGCAAGAGGATGAGGGTCAGTGCTGGATGAATTCCCATTTCAGAAGACGCTGCTTAGGCCATCCAGTCTCAACCCCCCATGTGGGCCAAAGGGTCTACAGGGCTCAGGGGTGTGCCCTTTCTCCTTCTAAGCTATGTTTCTGATACCTATAGGCTCTCAGAATTCTCTGCTAAGCCTACTTCCGGACCCCTCTTCTCAGGGTTCATGCCATCTCCCTCACACTGTTCCCACTTCGTACCTACCTGTTATTGATGAGATCTGGGCACATAACCTAAACTGACTAGAACAAGGCATCCCCTTGATTCCACCTGGGTTCTAGATCATTCTCTACCTCCCTGCTCAAGTCTAAAGGGCTAATGATGTCAGCGACTCTGACACAAACTTGGCATCAGAAGAGTTTAGTGGCGCTCTAAAGCATAGAAGCACTATATCACATAGAAGCCAGCACATATGCCAACATAGACCTCAAATCCTAAAGTTTAATACTAGCTATTTACACTGGGTTGTGCATGTTATCAAACAGGCTAAGGGCACATGTAGGTGCTTGATAATTGTCAGATGGATAAGCAAATGTGTTTCCTCCCCTCCCCTTCAAGGAAATAATGACAGCTGAGACCCTGACTTTAGATTACTGGGAGAGAGCAGGCGCAAGGGTTCTATTTAGCTATGCAGGGTTTGGACTGTGAAATGTGGAGTAAATGGAATCTGACCAGAGAGAGTGACAGCCAGAACCTCCCACCAGCAGAGTCCCTGGAGCTGGTATCTCTGGCTCAGACTAGTTGAGAGTTGTTCCTGGCAGTTGGCCCAGGAAGATTTTAGACTTTAGAGAAAGGGGTGGAAGATTGCAGTTCTTATCCCCAGGCTTGCTCTGTGGACAGTTTTGAAAAGGAAACTGATTTATTTATTTTTAAAACTTTATGTGTATGAGTGTATTGTCTGCATGTATGTAAGTGTACCCATGTTGTGCAATGCCCATGGAGGTCAGAAGAGGACATCGGATCCCCTGGAACTGGAGTTACAGACAGTTGTTAGCCGTGGGTGCTGGGATTTGAACCTAGGTCCTCTGCAAGAGCAGCCAGTGCTCTGAACCAGTGAGCCATCTCTCCAGCCCTGGAACTGATTTTTTTTTTTACGGACTGGAGAATTAGTTCATGTTTGAACTAGAGATGGGAGAAGGGCCCAAGATTGCTAAGAACTGTGCAGCAGTGAAAAGTTCTCATTTAATTTCTTTTAGTAAAATTTCATTTTAATTCATTGAATTTCCTTTTATATACAAGGTCCTTTAGAAAAGCTCACTAGGCCTGGAAGGCTTCTAAAGGGGCTGTGGAAAGATGGGAAGAGTAAAGACTAGAAAAACATACTGGGTTATGCTTTCTCTCTGTACCTGAAGGAACATGCCAGGGATTGATCCAGGAACTGTTCCAGCAATGTTGACTGGCCAGAATAGTTGAATGAGAGGGAAGCCACGTGGGGACAGAAGGGTGATAACGTAAGGCCTGAGTTCTCAAGTCTCTATGAGAATTGATTTGTGTCAAGATGTAGGAAAGGCAGACGAGATGTGCTCTTTTTGTCAATAATAGCTAAGTTTTATCTGTCACTGACTATGTGCTATGCTTTCCTCTAAGCATGTAACATTTTCTCAGCTAATTCTCATAATTCTATAAAGAAAGAGCTGCTATCATATTCATTTCACAGATAGGGATCAGGGTTCAGGGATGATGAGGCTTCTATCTAGAGTTACTCTATGATTATCAGAACCAGGATTTGAACCTAGATGGGCTATCTCTAGAGCTTTTTTGTGTTCAACCCTGCCTGTTACAGGATAGATCTGGACACCTTTTATTTAAACAGCATCTAATTTCAGGAACTAATCTAGGGAAATGAACCCTTCATAATAAGTTTTTTGGGGGAGAGTTGGGGGTGGGAAGCAGTAGGAGATTTTCAAGAGGGACTTACTTCTAAGAGAGACTCAGAATAAGTCTTAACTTCACCTAACAGTCTGAAACACTGAATTTGGACCTCTGGTTATGATATAGGGGAAATTGGGGTTCTCCTTGGAGTTTTTAGTCTCACTAATAAAAGAATTAAAGGATGAACTCAAATGGAAGCTTTAAGATAACTTTATTAGGGGCTAGAGATAAGGCTCAGTGGTTAAGCGCACTGGCTGCTCTTGCAGATGACCCAGGTTTGGTTCCCAGGACCCACATGGAGGCTAACAATTGTCTATAACTCCAGTTCCAGGGGATCTGACACTCTCTTCCGGCCTCTGCAGGCATTGCAAGCATGTGGTGCACATACATACAAGCAGGCAAAACAACCATATACATAAAGTTAAAATCTATCAATCAATAAAAATTAAAACAAAGCAAAACAAAAAAGGGAGATAATTTTTATCAGAATTTAAAAGAAAAGCCTTCAGGGCAGGCAAGCTTCAAATCTCAGCAGCTGGCCAGAGGAGGAGAAGGAAAGAAGGAAAGAAGCCATGCTGTTTTAAGCTGGCAAAGCTGGCATGGAGGTCAGGCACATGATGTCCTAGCATCCACAAGGGGAGAGGAGCTTTAGAAAAAGAGTAAGGAGACCCAAAATGTTGGGGCAGACACAAGGTGTTAGGAAGAGCATACTTAGAAAAATAGAAGAAATCAGGAGAGGGCAGACTTACAAATCTGTACCTCTGTATCCTGATAAGGAAGGAATTCTGGGTAGGAAAAAATACACTATCTCATTAAAGCATTAATTATTCCACCTATCTCTTTACTATGGCTTAAGGTGAGCCCACCTTCCTAGAGGTGGTCCCTTAGCCAAGTGACTGACCCATCCCAAATGGAATGGTATGTCTCCATTCAGGCCAGAGATTTTATTCTTAGTTGACCTTTACTATTGCTGCAACAGTTTTATGTATTATGTTTATCAGGAGTCATGATGTCAGTGGATTTAATTTATTGGTACAGAAATTTGGCCTGATGATGTTACTGGATTTCTAAGGAGTTGCTGCCTCTGGAATTCCTGTTTCCAATTCTGGCACTCCAATTTCAGTGAAAAGGGAGAGGAAAGGGGAATTTGTAAGGTCTTTGCTGAGGAGGAACTGGGCTCAAGGGTAGCCTGCCTTCCAGCTGGGACAGGCCAATACTTAGGAGCTGCCTATCATTCTATCTTGGTTTGTTTTAGAATTAATAAATAGTAAGGAGTATCTTTGTGAAATCTTTGCTTCAGAATTTAAACTTAGGTTCAAATATTTATAAGAAATGTCTTTTTCTTTTTAAATTTTAATTATTTTAATTATTTTATGAGTATTTTGCCTGCATGCATGTAAGTGCATCGCTTGTGTGCAATGTGCATGGAGGCCAGCAGAGGGTGTCAGATCCCCTAGAAGTGGAGTTACAAATGGTTGTTAGCTACTATGTGGGTGCTGGGAACTGAACCCAGGTTCTCAACAACAGCAACCAGTACTCTTAATTGCTGAGGCATCTCTCTAACCCCTGTCTATCTTTTTCTAAATATTTTCCAGAGGCCAAAGTTACATGATATTCCTAAACATAACACAGTTATCTCTTCTAGAAATTTACTATAATTCCTCTTTTATAAAAGTCCATTCTTGCTGGGTGTAGTGGTGCACACTTTTAATCCCAGCACTTGGGAGGCAGAGGCAGGCCTGGTCTATGTAGTGAGGTCTAGGCCAGCCAGGGCTACGCAGTGAGACCCTGTCTTAAATAATAAAAAAAATAAAAATAAAAGTTCATTCCCTTCTTCTGTGGATGAGAAAACATACTTCATTCAATAATTCTTTTTTAAAGATTTATTATTTTTGTGTGTGTCGTGTGTGTGTGTGTGTCTGTGTCTGTTTCTGTGTCTGTGTGTATGCATACACATACATGAGTACAGGTCCCTACAGAGGCCAGAAGAGAGTGTTGGGTCACCTGGACCCAGAGTTATAGGTGGTTGTGAATCACCCATCATGGGTTCTGGGAACTGAATTCAGGTCCTCTGGAAGAGTAGGAAGAATGCTTAACAGCTAGACATCTCTCCAGCCCCCATCCAATAATTCTTCATGGGCACAGTTTTCTGAAAACTCAATGTTTTTATCCCCACAATTTCAAAACTCATCTCTGAAAGGAAGAGTAGCCAAACAGTAGGTTGCTTTAAGGTTATATGTATCCACAGAGACAGCATAGCATGACAGTTAGATGTTTAGACTTCACCACTCTCACTGTGGGTTACCTTGAAAAAGCCACTGTATTAGGTTTAAATTTGGGGAGGGGGTCTATGGGCATGTCTTGCCATGTGGCCTCTGATTTGCAATTCTCTTTATTCTTCCTCTCTAATGCTGGGATTACTGGCATATGTCTCCCTGGTTGTTCTGGAACTACGCAGACCAGGCTGGTCTCAAACACAAAAAGATCTGCTGCTTCTGCTTCCCGAGTGCTAGGATTAAAGGCATGTGCCACCACAACTGACTCGATTTATTTTTAATTATGTGTGTGTGTGTGTGTGTGTGTGTGTGTGTGTGTGTGTGTTTGTGGAGAGGGGTATGTGCACATGAGTGTAGGTGCCCATGGAGACTAGAGGCATTGGGTCCCCTCAGATCTGGAGTTACATGCAGCTATGAGTCACCTGATGTGGGTGACAGGGAACTGAACAGTAATACAAGCTCTTAACTGCTGAGCCATCTCTTCAGTCCGTTAATTTTCTTTAAAATATTTTCATCACATTTTAAATGTATTTATTTGTGTTTGTGAGTGTGTATGTGCTCATACCGAAGCACATGTATGGGAAAGGTTACAGGACAACTTGCAGGAGTTGGTGCTCTCCTTACACTGTGTGGGCTTCTGGAATTGAATTCAGGCTGTCAGGTTTGGCCACAAGCATCTTACCCACTGAGCTATCTCACTGCCTGAAATGG